GCCGAAGAAACAGAGCAAAGCAAAGAAATCGGGAAGAAATTGTGAAGAAACAAGCAATTTTAGCATAATTTACATCTTGACGTTTGTCTACTAAATTGATCATATCTGGAGTTCCGTAACTCATTTTGACGTGGATTTTTTTGAAGAATGAAGCTAAGAGAAATATCTATATTCTGAATTAATCATGAATGCAGTGGAAAATATCGTGTTTGTAATGCAGCATCTTTAAATCGTGTGCGCAATGGAAAAGTATCACAGGTGTGATGGACTGTTTTCTGGGATATTTTGACGCGTTTTGACTACTTTAAAAGGGAAATTTTAGTACTTTTTCAAGGGTTCTGAACTTCACCCTAAAAGGGACAAATTTCTACACCAAAAGTAACAATTTACAACACTAGAAGGTATATTTAGAGAGCATTGGAAGTCATTTGAGGCCAATTCTTCAAGGGATCTCATATGCAATTTTTCTTAATTGTTTTTTGTATTGTAATATGAATTATAAGTAGATAATTATCTCTAAATTATGTTGTGTTTGATGAACCTGTTTCAATATTGTTGGGACATATGTTGATTTGACTTTGCATGGATACTTTGGTATATAATTATATCCAATTGCTTCTTGTTCATAATGTTTTTTATGTGAGATACTCTTTTAATTTGATTTTGAGCACATAGGGAATACTGACCATTAATCTATGTGTTGGACCTAGGAAAATTATTGTGCTTACGTTGGTTGAATAAGAATAGGAGGCCCCGAGTAGTGGCTAGTGAATTAATGCATTGTTGCATCTTTTAATCCTGCTTACGCTAGTCTACTAGGGATAGGAAACTCCGAGTTGTGATTAGTGAGCTATATTGCAAGGGATTGGTTATAGCAGTTTTTTTAATTCATCGTGGGATTATAGTTATAAGATTATTCATGTAAGGCATCGAACATCAATAATAGAGATATAGGGAATTTTATATATAACTTGGCCGCTTTCTTGTTGTTGTCTGAAGATTTATTTACTTTTCGCATTACAAACTTGAACCCCCCATTTACTATTTTATAAGCATTGCATAATTTTGTCTTGTTAAAAAGCACTCCTTATGGATTCTATCTTAGTTATTACTATGACATTATCGGTACACTTGTCGAGAAGTCATCATCTTTCTTTGTGTTTGCTAATTGATCCACCTGGCTTTAGTTTTACCTTGAAAACCCATTTGATGCTAATGACTTTCTTTCTTGTTCTTTGGAAGCTTAATCAATTCCCAAGTCTTGTTTATTTCTATAGCCTCAAGTTCTTTTTTCATCGCCTTTAGCCACACTTTCTTCTTGAGAGCTTCTTCTGCACTTACTAGTTTAGAGTCTACTAACATGGCACACTAAATGACTTCCCCTTAGAGTATATTTCAGTATCTTGCAACATGCCAAATGCTACAAATCTCCTTGATATTTGTCTGTTTTTTTGTGGCCTTTGAACTTGTTCACAATCTTCTTTGGATGCTGGAATAGTATCAGATGCTAGAACCCCAGAAGTACCACCTTCAGCATCTGGAATATTCCCAGAGTCTGGATCTCCACCAGAATTTGAATCACCATCAGAATATGGATCAGAAACAGATTCACCTTCAAAGTTAGACTCACCTTCATACTTTGTCTCACCTTCAGAGTCTTTTTCAGATTCACAGTCATCTTCAAGCTTTGAATCATCTTCAGAGGTTGGGTCTTCTTTAGTTTCATAAATACCTTCGAAAGTAAATTCGAACCAGAGTTGGATTGAGACTTGTTCCAATCCCATGCTTTTGACTCTTTAACAATGGCATCTCTGTTGAATTCAACCTTATTAGTGACATGAAAATAGAGCTTATAAGCATCTATACTGTGGTACCCTACAAGCAACATAACTTTGCTTTTGTCATCCAACTTCCTTTCTTAGCATCTGGAACATGTTTGTAACAAACAGAACCAAACACCTTCAGATGGCTCACACTTTGCTTATCTTCAATCCACTTCTCTAAAGGAAAAATTTCCTTTAGCTTCTTGGTTAGACACTTGTTGCGCACATATGTTGCAGTGGCAACAGCTTCTCCCCATAAGGTGTGAGGGAATTCTTCTCCTTCAGCATGCTCCTTGTCATATCAAGGAAAGTTCAGTTTCTTCTTTTAGTAAGACCATTCTGTTGAGGAGTATATGGAGCAGTAACCTCATGCTCAATTCCATTATCCTCACAGTACTTTAAAAACTCTATAAAGTTATACTCAACTCCACCATCATTTTTGAGAATCTTCAGAGTTTGACCACTCTGATTCTCGGATTTAATTCCGAATTTCTTGAATTCAGCAAACACCTCGTGTTTGAACTTTATAAGGGATACCCACTTCATTCTTGTGGACTCTACCACAAATGACACAAAGTATTTATTCCCTCCAAGTGAAGGTACTCGAAATTGTCCATATACATCAGAATACACCACACCCAAAGCATGTTTTTCGCTTGGAGGCTTTCATATGCAAATGGCACTCTTGGTTACTTTCCTCTCATGCACACATTGCATGACTTCTCTGGCTTCTTAATTGCAGGAATTCCATATACCAACTTCTTTTATTTCATATGCCCTAAGCTTCTGAAGTTTAAATGACCAAATCTTTTGTGCCATAACTCATTTTCCTTCACAACACTTGTTGCACTAAGGCATTCAGAGTCTACAGTTTTATCATTCACTTTAAATGTTCTATTCCTTCCCTGTTTTAACTTCATAATCAGCTTCTAATTACATTCATACAACTTCAAAAGATTATCCTTTATGGTAACTAAAAATCCTTTCTCAATTAATTGACCTACACTCATCAGATTTCTTTTGATGCCAAGAACATACCACACATTTTGAATAAATATGGTTTTAACATTATTCAAAACTACTCTGACATTTTCCATTCCTTCAGCATTCAGATACTTATCATCGTCACATATGATTTTGGTTCTCTTACCAAAGTCAAACTTAACCAATCATTTCTTATTTCCAGTAAGGTAATTTGAACAACCTGTGTCCATGTACCACCAGTCTTCCAAAGGCGCACTATCAGACTCAAAAGCCATCAATAGCACATGTTCATCATCAAAATCTCCTTTGGCTATGTTTTCTTCTTCTAACTTCATTTCCTTGTTTGACCTACAGTTAATAGCAAATTGACCAAAGTTGTTACAACAGTAGCATTGAACCTTCGTCTTGTCATACTTTTCCTTCCCCTTCTAAGCACTCTTCTTTCTTTCAGAAGTTGAGGTTTTTGACTTCTGAACACTATCATATTTCTTCCTGGTTTTTGACCAAGACTGCTTCTGATATTTCTTACCAAAAGCTGCTTTCAAAGCCTGCTGCTCTACCTCCATTTTAGAGTTTCTCTTCGTCAGATGCAACTTTTGTGCCTCTAGACTGTTTTGCAGCTCTTCAATTCTCATGGTGCTAAGATCCTTAGAATTTTCAATTGCTACAACAATGTAATCAAACTAAGGAGTAAGAGATTTAAGTACCTTTTCAATGACCTTTTCTTTAGAGAGAGTTTCTCCGCACGACTTCATCTCATTTGTGATCAGAATCACTTTAGAGATGTAGTAAGGTACCTTCTCATTATTATTCATGTTGAGATTCCCATAATACTTACGTAGAGACTGAAACTTCACCTTCTTCACTGATGCATCATCACTGTAGCATCGTACCAGTGTATCTCGTGCAGCCTTTGCCTTGATCGAATCAGCGATCTTCTCAAACACGTTCACATCCACACACTGATAGATGTAGAACAATGTCTTTTGATCCTTCTTCCTCAGATCACGTTGAGCATTCCTCTGTGCATCTATTGAATTTGCCTAATGTATAACTAGAACGTAACCGTCGTTGACGAGATCAAGAACATCTTAAGCGTCAAATAACACACGTATCTGAATCATCCATTGATTCCAGTTCTTGCCATCAAACATTGGAAGCTTAGTGTTTAGATTACCGTTTTCGTTCATATTTAACCTTGTGCAATTCACTCAGATCTCACCAAACACAAGTATTTTCCAATCACGCAAAATTAAAAAATGTAATTTTGTTACGGTTCCGACAAAAAAAATTCAACACGAATTCAAGAAACGAAATCAATCACACAACACCTCACTATTCACTCGTGTTTTCCTATGAAGAGAGAGAGAGAGAGAGAGAGAGAGAGAGAGAGAGAGAGAGAGAGAGAGAGAGAGAGAGAGAGAGAGAGAGAGAGAGAGAGAGAGAGAGAGAGAGAGAGACTTCAATAACAAACTTCTACTACTATTACAAAACGGTTACAGTGAATGGTTACACGTTTGGTTTATATACACAAACAATAATGTCACATAAGCGGAAATATTAACCTACACTAACTAAATTAACCTTTACAAAACTAATACTACTACTGAATATAGATTATTCAAACAATTATCAATTGCTTATAACAATATTAACTTCAAAATTAAAAAATACATATAAATACATATAAATATTACCTTGCGATGAGGTGTAGAAGTCTTCAAACATGAAATTAGTCTTGACAAAATAATAATTTCATACTCTACATTCCAAGTAGTTGAATTTATATACATTGGATAGCAACATTGCCTCATCTCTTGAAAATAAATACATTTTTCAATGACGGTTGGAGATTTTTTTAGTATTATGAAAAGCTTACCATTATTAGCTCATCAAAGACTTTGTGTCTTACAACATGTGTCTAGTCAATTATCTCTCCCAATTGGGTTTGTTAAAATGATATCATATGGGGAAGGCACCATCTGTAACTTGCCTACCACTCCATTCCCCATCCCTCATCCAGATAAGAAAATAATGTTAATAATATATTATTCTTTAACATTTTTTTATTGATTTGATCAATACTAAAATGGAACTGTTAAAGTGAACAATACTAAGATTACTGAAATACAGTTTGATGAATGTTAATAATACATCCATTATTACACCAGTAAGAGAATGAAACAAAAAAAGTTATACATTGTTTGTGTTAGAAAGTGAATCCTCAACTTGTTTGGAGAAACATGGATCAGAAACAATTAGAGAGAGCAAGACAATGATAGGAGTAATGAAGAGAACAAAACCAAAAGGCACCATCCAAAGTTGCTCATTTGATGGATGATATTTGTGTAGCCACCATCCAAGAACACAACCACCAACTATACTTATCAATAAGGATGTGAATAAAATTACTAAATATGGAAGCTTTGTAATCCACTTACTTTTCTTGTAGTCTCCATTTTCTTCTCTTTCATTTCTTTCCATATTTGATTGGAGCCCTTAGAAAGAAAACTTGTTATTCATTTTGCTGGCATGCAAAAATTGGCATAATGTGTGAGAGTGGAAGTAAACTTGCCTACGACTGTTTATTAAGTAGCAAAGTCGTAGAATATGTTTGAGCAAATTCGTCGGCTCGTTGAAAATTATGGAATGTGAAACAAGTGAGGACAAAACAAGAGCATTAAAATAAGAAAAGGAATATTGTTTTGTGGACACTAAAACACATCATCAACACCATGGAAAATAAATTAAATAAACATAGATTCAATATATTGGTGATGTGATGGAAAGATTGATAGTTTGTTGTTGAAAAAAAAAATTATGTTTGTGGTTTTCATAAATATTGCATTTTATTTTTAGTTTTTTAAAAAAATATAAAGAATGGTTCTTATTAAAAAATTATATTTGTGTTTTCTCGTACAACTTAGCGACTGAATTAGTAATGAGTTTAGCAATAATTTTTACAATTTAGTTAATAAATTAACGATGGTTTTAGTGACGATTTATTATTTAATAATTGAATTAGTGATAATTTTAACCGTAGAAATTAAAAGTGTGGATAAAAATTTTAAAATGATTTGAAGAAAACTTTTTGACTGACTAAAAATAAAATATAAAATATTTAAGAAGATTATAAACATATTTTAATCTTTAAAAAATGCTAACTTTGTATTTTAATGAATAAATTAAGGAACCAGATGTAATAATTTTAACTTTAAACTTTTGATTTATGATACTTTTAAGTTTTTTAACTTAATACTTTTTAATTTATACATTTGGTTTAGCATGACTCCACTTATTAACTTCTTACATTGAGTTAATCGCATCAATTTGAAGAAGACATTAATAGAGATGCATAATACTAATACAAATAAAATATTTAACATCATCAAGTCAAATTTAAATAAGAGAAATTTAAATAAGAGAAAGGATAGAAGAAGAGATATTTATTTATGCACAAGAAGGAAGAAGATAAAGATGATGAAGATGGAAGAGAGAGAAAAAATAGAAAAGTGATAACTAATTTTTCAACTGAAATTGATTACAAAATTCTTGTTACAAATTTATAACTCAAATTGATTACAAAATTCTTGTTACAAATTTATAACTCAGCATTGCTTAAATACACACATTCAATACTAAATAAAATTCAAATGCAAGCTAAATTAAACCTAAATGATAACAAATGACTTACAATCTAACAATATCATCATACCTAAAGAAAACAATGAGTGACCTACTCAACAAGCCACTAACAAGACCTACAACAACCAAGATAACAAGGACATGGATAACAAGGACATTATGGTATTTGGATTGAACTCTAGTGTCGACAAGGGAAACTTCATGGTTCGACACAAGTTACGTATGTTATAGTCGAAGTCTGCTTGAGAACATAATGTCGAAATATATTAACTTATAATTTAAGTTAGTATGTCGAATTGAGCTTTGCTTCTAAGCTTAATTGCTAAGGTAGCTTGTATCCTAAGTTAACTTAGTAGTCTATAAATAGACTAGTTCTCTCGGGTTATTGAGAGAGGTTAATTGTTGGTATTCACTTGTAACCCTTTGAACCCTTATTGAGAAAGTGAATAGAAAAACAGATTTAACCAATTCTTATTCTTCTTCTTCCTTCTTCTCTCCCCTTTGTAAAATCTAATAGGGTTTCTTGTGTTTGTTCAAGAAACTCAACATTTTTCTCATATTTTGGTTTGTTCTTGATAACATCAATTCACAACAAACTGGTGCAGAGAAGGAGATGTCGTCAACAAAGTATGAGATTGAGAAATTCACTGGTATGAATGATTTTGATTAGTCGCGCTTGAAGATGCAAGCCCTTCTTGTTCAACAAGGTTTATTAGAAGCGTTGAAAGGATTAGATAAGATGGATGTTGCCCTAATAGATAAGGAGAAGACAACGATGGTCAAAAAAGCCCACAGTGCAATTGTGTTGAGCCTTGGTGATAAGGTTCTCCAGCAGGTTTTAAAGGAGAAAACTGCAGCTGGTGTGTGGACGAAACTTGAAGGTTTGTATATGGCAAAATGTTGGTTAATCATATCTAACTGAAGCAAGCTTTGTATTTATTCAAGATGATTGAAGACAAATTCCTGGCTGAGCAGCTGGATATGTTCAACGAGTTAATTCTTGATCTTGAAAACATCAAGGTCAAGATTGATGATGAAGATCAAGTGTTGTTGCTATTTTGTTCTTTACCAATGTCTCATGCTCACTTCAAAGAAACTATCTTGTATAGAAGAGAGTCGTTGATCCTTGAAGATGTTTAATCTGCCTTCACTCTAAAGATTTGAACAAACGAAAGGAGCACATATCATCTTCTTTTGGTGAAGGTTTGTTTGTTAATGGAAAATTCTTGAAGAAAGATGGTAGGTTTGAGATGAAGAAGGGTAAAGTTATATAGAATTCGTATGGTGGTAATTCTTCTACTATTAAGTGTTATCCTTGTAAGAAGGAGGTTCATACAAGAAAAGTATACCTTGATCGACTAAACAATCATGGTGGAAAGATTAATGGTAATGCAGCTATTGTGCAGGATGGTTATGAATCATCTGATGTCTAATGGTTTCAAGCAATGACTCTAGCAAGGAATGGATTATGGATTCAGGGTGTACTTGACACATGAATCAAAACAAATATGTGTTTGAAGAATTGTGTGATCAAGATGGTAGAACAGTGCTACTGAGAAACAACAAAGCTTACAAAATTACAAGTATTAGATCTGTGAGATTCAAGTTCCATGATGAGTCAATAAGGCTATTGACTGATGTCAGGTATGTACCTGATCTTAAGAGGAATTTAATTTCTATTGGTGAACTCGACAAGAAAGGATATGTTTTATGAAGAGGGAAAATCATCCTAAGGGTAATGAAGGGGTCAATAGAAGTCTTGAGAGGCGTGTTGAAACAATGCTTGTACGCCCTTGAGTCTGAGGTTGTAAGTGGTTCAGCAGATGTGGCCTCCATGAAACCTGTGTTTAAGACTAAACTATGACACAAGACACTTGGCCATGTCAGTGAAAGATTCTTGGTCGAATTTTCGAAACAAAATCTGCTAGGTGGTGATAAGGTCGAAAAAATGGAGTTTTGTGAACCTTGTGTATTTGGTAAATCCTGTAGAATGATGTTTAACAAAGGTAAACAAAGAACACATGGATCCCTTAATTATATTCATGCTGATCTTCGGGGAACTACAAGAAATCCTTCACACTTAGGTGCAAAGTATTTTCTATCCATAGTTGATGATTACTCCAGAAAGTTATGGGTATTCATTCAGAAGACTTAGGATGAAACTTTTGAAAATTTCAAAAGTTGGAAGACTCTGGTCGAAACCAAACTGGAAGGAAGGTCAAGAGGTTGAGGACTGACAATGGTCTTGAATTTTACAATGAGGCTTTCAATAGCTTTTGTGTTGCGTCTGGTATTACAAGGCACATAACTACTGCAAGAACTCCCCAACAAACTGGTTTGGCTGAAAGGTTCAATCGAACCATTTTGGAACGAGTAAGGTGTATGTTAGATAGTATAGGATTGAAGAAGGTGTTTTAGGCTGAGGCAGTCTTGACTGCAGCATACCTGATAAATAGGTGTCCCTCGACAACCTTGGGAATGAAAACACCTGAAGAATTATGGTCAGGACATACACCTAGTCTCGACAGACTTAGAGTATTTGGTTGTCTAGCCTATGCTCATATTAGGCAAGACAAGGTCGAACCTAGAGCTATGAGATGTATGTTTCTTGGATACCCTGAAGGAGTCAAAGCTTATAGGATGTGGTACCTAGATCGAGGTCACAAGAGGTGTATCACAAGTCGAGATGTAGTTTTCAATGAAGCGTGGCTTTCAAGAAAACTGACGACATTGGTTGAAGTTCGAAGATCTCTGAAGAAGAGTTAGAACATGAAGAGATTCATGTTGAGGTGGAGCATAGTGATATTGAATTTCATAACCCATATGAAGTCAAAGAAGAATCTCAAGTTGTTGATAAATATGAGGAGACTGGTAATGAATACCTGCTGGTAAGAGACAGGTCGAAAAGAGTCATCAAGCCACCTCAGAGACTTGGTTATGCATATCTCATAACTTATGCCTTAATCTCTGCAAGTAAGGTTCTTGACAAAGGACCTAGAGACTATAAGGAAGTTATGAGGAGTCGAGACAAGACTGAATGACTGAAATCCAGATGATGAGATGAAATCTCTTCATGATAATAACACTTGAGAGCTATTTGAGAAAACTGCAGGGCCAGATTAGTCAGTTGTAAATGGATCTTCAAGGTTAAGGAAGGAGTCGAAGGAGTGATATCGGAGCGTTTTAAGGTGAGGTTGGTTAGGGGGTTCACTCAAGGTGTCGACTTTAATGATGTGTTCTCACCTGTTGTAAAGCATATATCCATTAGAATGTTGTTAGCCATATTGGCAAAGTTCGACCTAGAATTTGAACATGATAAAAGCTAGTTTGTTCACTTGTTATAGAGTTTGTTCCAAGATGGAGATGTATGGCATGTGGATCGAACTCTAGTGTCAATAAGGGTAGCTTCATGGTTTGACAAGAGTTGTGTATGTTGTAGTCGAAGTATGTTCAAGCATAATGTCGAAATATATTAACTTGTAATTTAAGTTAGTATGTCGAATTGGACCTTGCTTCTAAGCCCAATTGTTAAGTTAGCTTAGTAGTCTATAAATACTAGTTCTCTTAGGTTATTGCGAGAGGTTAATTGTTGGTATTCACTTGTAATCTTTGAACCCTTATTGAGAAAGTGAATAGAAAAACAGATTTAACCAATTTTTATTTTTCTTCTTCCTTCTTCTCTCATTTTGTAAAACCTAATAGGGTTTCTTGTATTTGTTCAAGAAACTTCATCTTTTAACATATTTTGGTTTGTTCTTGACGACGCCAATTCACAACAGACATAAAAGGACATGAATATGAGGAATAGTGATCAGGATGATAATCATGATAAAGACAAA